TAAGCGCTCTACTTACCCGATTAGTTCACTCACTTACTGAACGCTCGGCGCTAAGCTTACATCAGCATCGCGCCGGGCTCGTCTCGTCGATTTTCTCCTCGAGTACCTCAGCTCTTGCCACCATCCGTGCGCGCGAGACTGAGGTACGACTCATTCGTTTTATGTCGCTCTTTTATGGTACACTAACAGTCATTCCTTAGGCACTGACCGTGCTCTTGACTAGGTAATTAATATAGAGCTCTTGCCACCATCCGTGCGCGCGAGACTGAGGCACTGACCGTGCTCTTGACTAGACACGACACCGCGCAAAAGGTTATGAGCCCTGCGCTCTCAGCTTAACCTCAAGTCTCTCAACAATCGGACCGTCCAATCGAGCTCAATCCAGTCTTTACAAGATGTCTACCCCAGGTACCAACACCACGGCACCGGATGCCAGCACACCGCCTAACCAGCCCCCCATCGAACCGCCTCCCGCTCCAGTCACCACACCGTCACCGATGCCGAACCCCGTCGCATCGACACTCACTCCCTCGCAGTCGAACAAGCTATTCGATGTCGCGAACCTCAAGGACGACGGCTCGAACTTCCCCATGTGGAAGTTCCGGCTCCAGATGATCCTGGAGTCACGCGAGCTCTGGGCGACCGTCAATCGCACCGAGCCGCAGCCGCCTGCCTCCGACGAGGATAGACTGAGGACCTGGACGCAACGGGATCGCGCCGCTCTCCTGCAAATCACGCTCACGCTCGACGACGCGCCTCTGAGCAGTGTTATGCTGGCGAAGACTTCGGCGGATGCCTGGGACAAGCTGGTGGGACGCTTCGAGGGCCAGGGTAAGCAAACCATTGCTTCTCTTATCGGCGAACTCTTCCGGGGCACGCTCTCGGATGAAGAATCGCTCGAAGCGCAGCTCGACGCAATGCAGCTCAAGGCGCGCACCCTCGAACGGCTCGGACAGAACCTCGACGACTCGCTCGTCGCAATTGCCATGGTTACATCCCTCCCCCCTTCCTACAACACGCTGCGCACGATCCTCATGTCGTCGCACGCTACGCTCACCACCGACACCGTCATCTTGCAAGTCCTCAACGAGGAGAAGAGCCGCAAGGAACGAGCCCACACCCAGTCCGCGTTTTTCGCCAAGGCGACGGACAAGAAGGGTGCCAACTCGAAGTCGACGAAGGCTAAGCCGACTCCGAAACTGGGCAAGAAATGCGCTCACTGCAAGAAGACCGGTCATGTCAAGGACGAGTGCCGGAAGCTCAAGGCCGAGCAGGTGGCAGCTGCCGCCGGCAAGGAGATGAAGAACAAGGGCACGGGGGACCTGGCGGCCAAGACGGTCGTGGTCCAGGACGGTGATGAGACAATCCGTCTCTACATCGCGGACGCACTCACCGCCCAGTGCAACACGCAAACACGCTGGATCGTCGACTCGGGCGCGTCCTCACCGATGTGCTCGCAACGCGACTGGTTCGTGACGTACACTGCACTCGACAAGCCAAAGCGCGTCTGGCTCGGTGACGAGCACTACATCCTCGCAACGGGGATTGGCAGCATCGCTCTTCGGCTCAAGCGCAAGGACAGCTACGAGACGGCCGTCTTCCCTGGCGTCTACCACGTCCCCGACCTGAACGGAAATCTACTGTCGGTCTCGTACTTTGCTCGGAAGGGATACCCCGTCAGCTTTGAGCGCGACGGGTGCACCATCCATGACGCCTCTGGCGACACAATCGCAACCGCGTTCGAACGCGAAGGCCTCTACATCCTCCGCGCCGAGCCGCACCTCCCTGAGGCACGCACATTCCTCACGTCACTCGCTCAGGCCCACGATCACACATCGGACCCTGGGCCAACGCCTGACCTTTCTGCGCTGATTGCGTGCGGCTCGACTAGGTCCCGCTGTCGTATGCTATCCGGGAATCGGATGATTGATAGGTGAAAAGGGGTGAGGGGTTGGGCGATGTTGATTCCCTGATGCTGCCGCAAAGCGTGTGGGGTTTCCTGCTTTTCCAACAGTGGCTTCGCCGAGTTCGTGACTAAGCCGGGCGGGCTATGATCCTTGAATAACTGCTTGTGTGGTGGTGTGTGGGTGATTGTGGTGTACTGAGACCTATGCGAAAGTCTCGGATGGTGGTTGCCCTGAGTATCTGGGCAGAGTCTCCCCTATACTGGTTGGGAGTGTTGCGTGCTGGCTGCGTAAGGCTGCAAGTGCCTGTCTTCTAGACCCCGTATTAAACACACCCTGAGGTATGTCAAGTGACGTGTCTTCCTGGCTGTAGACCCCGTATTAAACACACCCTGAGTGGTGCGTCAAGTGACGTGTCTGTTCCGGCTCTAGACCCCGTATTAAACACACCCTGAATGGCGTGTCAAGTGACGTGTCTGCTGTGGACCCCGTGTCAACGTGCCCTACGGTGGCGTGTCGAGTGACGTGTCGTGCTTCTGTCTTCGTACCAGTATTTGTCGTAAAGTTCCGGTGAACCCCAACTAGTCTGGCAGCTTCAGTGTTCTCGTGTGCGTGTCTTCTTTGTCCGAGGTCAGTAGCTGTCGTAAAACTCCCGGCTGGAGCCCAACTATCCTGACGAGTCCTGTCCTGCGTGCGTGCGTCTCCTGTGTTCTCGTGGCACCAGTAGTTGTTGCAAGGTTTCAGTAAACCTCAACTAATCTGATGGCTTCTGGCTGTCCGTGGGTGCGAGCGCGAGGGTCAGCAG